CCAAGACGAAAAAAAAAAAAAGAAAATTGTGCCAATAAGAGAATTTGATTATCAAAATAGACACGCTGGCGGCGTCTGCTAAAATTCACTTCGTCCCGAACGTAATATATTTAATGTTAAACAAATTTTCAAGCGTCCATTATTCACTGCCGTTACAGTCGATAGATTCAATGTTAAATTTACACCGAGTCAAAATGTTCGATCGGCGTAGAGAGGGGAAATAGAAACATTAAAGCTTCGTTCGTTTTAACAGAACGTACCACGTGCGAAATAAAAGTAGGTTGAACACGAGCCCCGACGGTTTACATGGCGAGCACAGCGCCACCGGCGGACAGACGGTGAACCACGATACTACTAATCAACCCAATACGCTATCCTCGTATCTGCTTAACGTTTTCAGGCCGACTGTGCCTCCTCGTGTGGGCGCAAATTCGCTCGGCAGACGCAGCGCGAAGCCCCGGCCGACTTCGGCAGACACAATTTTGCGATTCGCACGCGTGCGAATCTAATTTTGCAAAAGTGGGTTACGAGCTAGATGACGAGAAGCGAAGACCTTGTAAGACCAAGTCGACGAACCTTCGATTTTGGGCCCTACGCTATGTACGGGCAATAAATGACAAATCAAATTTCCCGGTGACTATTGCTAAAAGCATAAAGCTGTGTTTGGAATATTTTTATAATCTAAAAAAAATGGGCCTCATAATTTTTTGGGTCTGTCGATACGATTCGTAATCTGATTATTTTATACGGACTATAGGTAGCTGTGTGGTATAGCGATTTAATATCGTGAGGCTCAATTGGGGGACTAGACGAAAATACATATTATATATTTAATATATTAAAAATATATTTATTATATGTGCGTGCAATATATTTCATTTACATTATATATATATGTATATATATTTCCATTAATGGACGCATCTTACTATCCACGTCGTTCTGACCCAATTTTTTTTCCACACTAAATAGAATCACTGCGAGATTCGCGAGCGTGAAAAAAAAAAATTGGGTCAAGTGTTTCGTCAAACGTATCGTATGGACACTCTTCGGCTATACTTAAGGACAGGTTAGGTTAGGTACAGCATAAGTAGTACAGTAGCATTCGCTGTCTATAATTCCCAATCACAAAACATACCGATCGAACAAGAAATCATTGACACTCGTAAGGCCTGTTATCCGATCGCAGAATAAAATAAAAATAAATCATCAATCACCACCGGTAGTCCCATCGACAAATCAAAATCGATCGATCTAAAAATAATAATGCCATAACCACATACATCGTCCAAGATTGAAATCCTGCACTGTACGCGCCTATTTCCTATATGCAAATTGTATATCCGTATACGGGTATCCGTGACGTCACGATTCGCAAATCAAAATCACAACCATCAACGCCGGTACGCGATAAAAGCGAATTACCCGAAAATACGAAAAAAAAAAAAAAAAAAAAAAATTTCCTCTTTACCTCAAATGTACTCCGAGAAACGTACGCAGCATCCCCAAGACCAAATAGACACCGTAACAAATTTCTTAACGCGCGAAAAAAAAAAAAAAAAAAAAAAAAAAAAAAAAAAATTTCCTCTTTACCTCAAATGTACTCCGAGAAACGTACGCAGCATCCCCAAGACCAAATAGACACCGTAACAAATTTCTTAACGCGCGAAAGCGGTGAAGTAAAACGTGCGTAACAAGCGCGTAAAGCGTATACGAAAAGCGAAGCGTAAAATACGTCGTAAACGCGTTGCCTTGAGCAAAGCCAAATCCAATACGCCATAGGGAAAGCCTTGAACCGTGACTATTTTCAGATAGACAGCCGAAAGCAGTGTCGCGCGAAAAAATTTGGTATAAAAAAATTTTTTTTACCGCCACCCCAGCCTTGCTTCCCCCTCCGGACCCCACCTGTCTACTCTAATTCGATCCAGCCTCTTTGGGTCCACTTGGTCGCGTCTCTTCGTCGGCGGAGACAGTGCTTGCTGTTATAGAATTAGTGCTTGTGCCGAAGCAAAACTAGGTCAAGTTCAAACTGCTTGGACTCAATTTTTTTTTTCTATATTTTATCTCCACTCAAATTTCTACAATGATCGCGATTATGTGTGTATTCAAGATCTGGTCCATGATCAATCTCTTATCGTTACGCACGAGGATGTCGTCATGTTCGATTCAAATTTTAACGATCGTGGCTGGACTGCGCTGGTCAGTTTGTATATACAGGTATATAGTGTATACGAGTATATAAAATTATACAGTATATACGAATAAATAGTATATACGGTATATAGTATATACGATATATAGTATATACGGTATATACTATATACGAGGACCGTGCACGAGTACAGGGTGGTAAATAAGATTGAAGTAAAATAAGAAGGCAAAGAAATTTTCTCGGACTAGCTAAGCACACGACCATGAACGGACTTCCGGTCTTCCTCGAGCCTGAACTCTCTACCTGGAAGAGACACGGATTAACAGGAAATCCTGATGTGAATTTCCTGGCCGTCTTTCGCGCGTCGATATTTAATTTCGCCGGACGATCAACAAAGCGTATAATAATAAAGTCTGGATATACGTATATAAAGTGTGTTCTGTATACGCTGTCAAATAAGAGATGCTTATTGTACGACGGCCAATTTTAAAATTGAATTCTACTAAACGAGGAGGGAGGTGCTCCGTAACGTTTATTAGAAGCTACGAATTTCGTGCCAGATGCAACGGCTGGGAAAACAAACGAATTTACGATACTTGCAGCCTTACGGATGAAAGGCTGTTATTTTATGTACCGGTAGCGAGTTTGACACGTGTTACGAAAGATTGGGTATTTCTCGATTTACTACGGGATCGAGAATCGGACCGACGCGTGCATCGCCGCCGGTCGACCTTGGAAACGAAAATAGTACGAGCCAATTTTTTTTTTAGTGCCACCACTGACAGTGGTAGTTGGACTAGGTATTGTGAAGATAATTTTTTTTTTTTTGAGTAACGTAATCACGGTAATGATAATTGATAAGAACGTGGTGATAACTGCGGTGGTCGAATTATTGATAAGAGAAGGGGGGGAGAGGTCGAGGATAAAAATAAAATTTGACTTATTTTTGTCTAGTCCTGGAGACGTAACTGATTGGCGCTTTAGTCTTGTCGTGATTTTTTTGAGTCTTGTGGTATTGCCAAATTTCAAGGCCGATATGTGCATGTATTTCGCATTGTGCATAAACAGGTATATCGCGGAGATGCGAGTCCTTGATTTTTGAGATGGTTCAAATTTGCGACTGTGAAAAGATTTTTGCGAAGAGAGCCGCGCTGGTGCGGTATGAAATTTTGGAAAATGTTTTTTTTATTTTTTCGAAAACAAATTTTGGGTCGTCGATCGAAATAGTGAAAATTATGGGAAAAGAAAATAATTGAAAATTTACGACCTATACTCGGAATCTAGTGAGTCGAGCTCTTTTTTTTTATTTTCTCGAAATTATTTTCAGGAGGAAAACTAAACGGTGGATTTCCTGGTCCGTTTCGCGGAACTGTGTTTCATGACTGTCAGTACGTTTATAGGTTATGTACAGTCTATACGATGTATACGTAAGATCGTACTTGATCCTCATTGGAAATTTGCCAGAAAAAAGATTAGACCATTATTACCAATAAAAAACGTTGGGACTGTACGCGAGTGAGTTTTTGGTACAGTCGGGTTATTCGTTAAGGCGAAAGTCGCAAAGGGCCGAAATAATTCGAATCATATAAGCAACGTTATCAAGTGACACGTGCAGTTGACACTTTGACTGTCTTTGGCGTTAAGGAGGCTGATCGGTTATCAGAGACGCGTTAGAATTCTTCCGGCGTGTAAAATTATTTTTATCGTCATATCGCAAGCGTCTTGGTTGAATAAATTAAACTGACGTTTGAAATTCGCGCCTCGATTTTTTCACGTCTACGGCGAACTTTGAATTATGGTTAGGATATCGCGAGAATCTTAATCGGACGCGTGTTCGCGCTGTGGAGATTTGATTGTCGATTACCGTGTTCGATTAATCGATCGACAGTCGATAGTCGAGTGTCGATTTATAGTGAAAAGAATGAAAAAATATTTAAATATATATAACGCTACGACTGTTTACGAGAAAAAAAAATTAACGTTGACTTCATTCGAAATTGCGGCGGAAAATTAAAAATAATTATAAAATAATTAATATAATTATTATATTCGAATTATCTTTAATACGATTTAAATCGTTGGTAATTCTTAGTAATCGCCTTCAATTTTTTCTCATTACTGATATCATTGATACTAATGACCCGTTCTTTATGGACCAATAAGATGAGAGCGTTAGCAAATAAAATTCATCTCGTCACTTTAAACGTCACTTAAAAAAAAAAAAAGAAAAAAAAAAGAGAGATAGGACCGAGTAAAAAAATAATAAATAGGTAAAAAAAAAACAATAATCAACACCATGTCCAGATTACGTCCTTATCATTTCATTCGCGAGTACTGTTAATACTGTTAATTTTCATAATTATCAGTATACCGCGATACTTGGCAGATACTTCTACAAGTATTCCGGGCGCTGTTAAACTAAAAGATAGTCGAGAAAAAGAAATAATAATAATCGTCGCCACGTTCACTCCGCGTCCTTGTCGTTCTTTCATGAACGCTGCTGATGCTATTGATTTGCATAATTACGAGCGTACCGCGATGCGTATGTTATCAGATACTTGTACACGAGTCGTATAAGAACGTTTAAAAGACAAGGTCGACCCGGCTGGACAAGAGGAAAGAAAGTTTTTCCCTCTTGCGTTTGCTCGGTTACGGAAGCAAAAGTTATCAGAAATTGCAAACGGACTAAATCAAATGACCGAAGTAGGTCGAATAAGGAGCAATGCTAAACCATAAGAACAGGATAGAAAATCATATAGAATAAAGCACGGAATAACCGACCGAGCAGATAAAAGAAATTGTCGATAAAGAAAATCTTAATTATTTAAAAGAAAAAAAATTCACTCACCATTCCATGACAAAGGCTGACAGTGACGCTGGAGTCAGGGTCACCATCTACCGATCCACTGTAGAAGCAGCCCAATTGATGACCCGGCTGCTCCCGTCTCGCTGAATTTTCACTGACGTGGGTAACCTAAAAAAAAAAGAGTCTTTTAAAATACCCTTGGACGTTGCTGTAATTTTATTTCATATTTTAATCCTTCAAAAGACTGCCGACAAAACTCGTCAACCACCAGCGAAAAGAAGGTTTATTAACATTCACGGTAGAATGTCCTGATCGTTCGGCGTAACGATATAATGAAATATTCAAGTTCGAGTCTTCGGAGTGGCGCCACCGTCGCCTGGACTTAATAGAACGAAGTTGGCGCTGGATTCTGACTCGGCTACGTTCGCAACATCGGAATCGCCGTGTAACCGTGTTGTCTAACGACTTCGTCACTTCGTATTATATCTTTTCAATATATTTAAATACCTTTATGTCGGGCGAGACGAAGCTGATGTCGAGCGCGAGAAGCAGACGGAATTTTCGGCCGAATGCGAAAAATTCATACTGCGGATGAGGATCCCAGACCTTCGCAGCTGCATGACGAAAGTGTCCGCTGTGGTGTCTCTTGGCTGTTTCGTACTCCTCCACTAGACATAACAAAATTCTATATCAACGACGTAATCCAGGTAAAATAAATTAAAATTTATTTTTGCCTCAATAAGATGCCATAATGATCTGAATAAAAAACCTAAGCCAACCTAACCTAAATATTACTTCAAAACAGTCAGCAAAACGCGCGAGCCATTCTTACGCGTTCATCTCAAAACCAATAAAATTGGACTAAGAAAATGATTTCGGTTAAATTATAAAAATATAATTCACTTTTTGAGTTAGTCAATCATAGTTTAAATAATTAATTAGTCCATGAAAATATTCTAATTCATTTACATACGTTGTATATGCTGGAGCGTTGTTTCGGAAAATGTCCATCGTAGAACTTGGTTATGTTAGGCACGAACTTTATTATATCTTTACAGCCTGACTGTTCAACGATTACTGATTATCTTTTCGATTCCAATTCACAACTGTTTTTAGTTACCTTTCCCCACTCCTGTATCCTTGTTCACCCTTTAAACCCTTGATTTTAAAAAACTGGTGCTATATATATATACATATGTTGTTTCTTACTAATAAATCATACTGCGTAAGATCTGCAATTCTGTTTATCAGTAATTCCAAGTATTCGCCAGCATGCAAGCAGACTTGGCGGATCTAAGGCCAAGTTACCGGATGAATTTGCATAAAGTGCAAGTGAAATAACCGGTCACGAGACCAGGATAGATACGACTGTGTACAATGACGTCTTTCTGCAAGGTCTACGAATTGAATGTTGCGATCGGCGCATAAGCATGGGCAATACACGCATGCGCATGTATACGTCAAAGGTTAAGTTCGTTGAATAGTGAAAAATTAGTCAAAAATATAAATTCTTTTTTTTTTACGGCTTTTCATTAAAAAATCAACACGTCAGTCGACATATACTCACGCGGATCCTCGTACTGATTCTGACTAATCTTCATCAACCGGATGTACTCGAGACCACCTTTGGAAGTAGGCAAAATTTGGTCCCTCAGTTCAGACGTAGATTTGACTCGGTCGGTAATGTCGTCTGCCTCGTGAAATTTGCCGACTGTGAATATAAAAACAAATTGAGGTTCGATAATAAGATTGATATATTATAATTTTGAGATTGAAAAGGAAAAAACTGGACTATGATATATCCTCATATACGTATATGTATGATATTTATGACTTACGATCCTGATATATCTTATATATCGTATATCATGACGTATCCGATAGTAAATATACATGGAAAATATTGAATATAAAAATTTCCGCAAAATCGCAAATAAAAATGTTGACTCATCCCGAGAATCCTTATAGAATTCGCAGGGCGACCATGACTCTTTGCACAGTTGACTTCCTAGTTTCCGTAGAACGTCTGACTGCGCAAGGTCAAGATGTCAGCTCCCTTGCGTGCGTTCCTCGTTCCGTGTTCCACGCATATGTAACACGTGTAAAAGTGCATAAGAGGAGTCAGCTATACAGGAGGCCACAACATAAGCCAGAAAGTGGAAACGAGAAACTGACGCAGCACGCGTGCACGTATAGGCTTATGTAAAATATTTTATTCCTCGTAGATACCGGTTAGATGGACGAGGCCTGGTTGTACAGTCGCGTGAAAATTAATAAGGATATAAACGCATTGGACTTTCATAGGTACAGTCTCGATACGACAACCAAGTATGATATATAGAATATATCATATCAATATAAAAAAGTACAGATATACAGAAAATTGATATACGAGACTTCGAGATTCAGGTGACAACTTTACGTTGTACGCCATAAGTAGATTGCCCCTCAAGATAACCTGACATATATCGACAACACGATATCCAAGGGGACTCTTATACGAGGTATATCATAAGAATATGGCCCCCCTTGACCGACCTCTCACAGTTTAATCATAGCAATATTAATTATAATCCTAGAGATCGCTACGAGTCCGACAAGCGATAAATCCAACGATCAGAAACGACGCCCAGCGTCGATGGTCTGTCATTAAATGACGTTCCAAGTCGCTATAAGAGAGTTCAGTGTGAGATCCTTCTCTATTTAATTAATAGGATTCAATTAAGAGCGTCGAAGGTCGCCATACTGTGAGAGGCGTCGTTCTTTTTTTTTTTTTTTTACTTCGTAAATTATATAGAGCTCGTATCTGTATCGGTAGCAATATAGTCGAGGTAGCACAGTATCGCGACGCATATATATATACACGTACGAGGAGACAAGGCCCGTCGTTGAATCACGTACCCGAAGACGACGGGGAGCGTCGGTTCTTTAATCCTCGCGACGCCTTGAACGACACTCAAGGATGACCTTGAGACTTCTTCTATCCGCCGCCGCTTACAATTTTGCACGATTCTTTTCTCTTCCGTCGACATCCGATCGGTCACCGACGCCCCATCCTATCTGCCGTGTCGAATCCATCCAGAGAGCGACGCCCGACGCGTGGCGTCTCGGTTAAATTAGACGCGGCACCAAAGAGAAACTGCCGGCTATAAATAATCGAAATAGCCCCGAGCCAATTGGTTTGATGCATTTACCCTTTCAACCCCCTCCCCTCCCCCCCACTCTCCTACCCCACTTACTCTTCCGTTCGTCAACTCTTGTTATTCGACCTAACCTGACCTAAGACAACCTCCTACTAATTCCTCCCGATCATCAGACTATCGCCATGCCAATTAACGACTGTCGCATAACCTCCTACTGTTGATGAGAATCGACGTTCGTCAACGATTTATCATGCTAACCTAACGTGAGACCCACCTATGACTGATTGGTAGGATTGGCTGATCATCGCTATATCATAAGAGCATCAACATTTATTATCAACACTAATCAACAGTACGATCCGAACCTGAAACAACATCTGACCAGTTGCTGAGTCCGTCGGAGTTGATCAGCAACGATGTATCAAGCTAACCTAACGTGAAACCCACCTATGACTGATTGGTAGGATTGGCTAATCATTGCCATATCATAAGAGCATCAACATTTATTATCAACACTAATCAACAGTACGATCCCAACCTGAAACAACGTCTGACCAGTTGCTTGGTCCGTCAGAGTGGCGTTGATCAATGGCCGTTGCATGGCTTCTGATCAACATTTTTCAACAGTGCTTATCAACGACCCTGTCGACCGTGCATGATAACGTGAAAAAATCGAGAAAATTTGAACGTAGAACACAATTTATGAATTTTGCCTTTTCAACTACCACACAACTGCTTTGACAGTTTCAACTGTGATAGTTTGCGTGACAATAACATAGTTGATAATTGACACGTGTCTTAGTGACAGTTCCAAACGTCAATGCTCCGTGCACTTAACGTTACGGATGCTTGATCAGAGACAATCGGAAGTGCCCACGTGGAAGAAACAGAGCGAGATAAAGTAAAATGTGAAAGGAGTCCAAGCGAGGTGGGTGTTGAGCGGTTGAAATTGGTGGGGAGGGCGAGGGACGACCTTTGACCTAACCTATTATGACGATAGCGAAGCCTAGCCATGTCGATTGTTACGATACAGAGACTTATCGACGGATGAGTGGATGCTGTAATGAATCATCAGGGTTGGGTCTGATTAGCTCAGACCCAGAACCATCATCCACTTGGATATTGCGGCAAAATACATTAATCGTAATGCCCGCGAAGTTAGCAGATCAATTTTCAGCAGATCACAAATAATATCGGACTTCTTTTCGCATGTAACTGAGTTCCGCAATTCCCGATACATTATAGTTGTTGCGATTTTACCCAAAAAAAAAAAAAAAAAAAACCAAAATTAAAAAAATTATCTGCACACTTCCCGTTTGAAATCTGACAGTTAATTATCAACCATGCCTGCATCGAATCAATCACTGATTACGTGTAGCTCAGAATACTTAAAATTTTGTAAGATACAGTCGCAATTGACTTTGCATTCCATTCGCATGAAACTACCGAGTATTGACATTCTAACCTATTGCACTATGACTTCGCAGCGCCACCGTCGCAAATTCACGCCAACCTCGCTCGCTCGCATTGCCACGCGACAAATCCAAATGTTGATTTCGAAAACAAGACAATTACGATAACGTCCTTTTTTTCCTGAGTTTAGCCACAATATAAAAATTATTTTTTAATTTTCCCGACTCAAGGCTTGATTGTGATAATTAGAAAATTAAAAAAATTATATTTCAATCGTAATTCGTAAATTGACAAACAAAAAGCAATTTTAGCTTAAATATTTATAACCCTCTTTTCATGCGTCTCTTATGACGACCGTGTGAGTCGCCTTAAGGTGGGTCCACTGGTCATGCGTGTCAGGTCGCATAAAAATACTTCAGCCACAGATGGAAAGCCCGAACGATGAATGGACGACGTGTGCCGTCAATGACGTGGGAAATACAAATCCAGCTGCCGCGAGGTCGCGAACGATAAATTACAATGGCGAATATTAAATGTTAGCGACACTCTAGAAAAGTTCGAGTTCGTTCACCGTCGCGCGTGATTCGTCGTGACCCAAACAGGACCCCGACGTCTTCGAATTGATTCGACCGTGTCCAATGATGACCCCAGTCATAGTTCTCAACGGGCGACTCGTCAACCAAATAACAATTGGAATCGTCGTTGAATTTACCAAAGTCGATATTCTACGTTACGACGAGTCCGTGACTATTTTATGTATATAGCAATACGTCGCAACGATAAAGGGCAATAATTGGGCCTGAATTTTCAAAAAAAAAATTTTTTTTATAAAACGTAAAAAAAAACCTATCCACTCCATTCGCAAGAGACAAGTCCGCTCTTTGGGCATAATGGGCCCATTTTTACACGCAAGGCCCAACTCAATGAAACTCGACTGTCACCTTTCATTGACTACAACAAACTGGCCCAGCCGGTCTTGCTAACGTGCTTCTTGTCTCTTTTTTATTCGCCGGATGACGATAATTATCTACACCTCCTGTCGTTATCGATCTGTCTGTCATCGATCGATAATCCGTCATGACGGAAGCAACGAAATGTTCGATGAAAATAAAAGCTGACGAAAAAAAAAAACCTACAAAATGACGTATACGCCAAATTCCAAATTTCATATACCCTCAACGCTGATGATCCATAACGGATCGATGAAGGATCAATAAAAATTCTTAAAAATCATTTGGCCTCTTGTCGCAACCAAAAATACGTTACAAAGAATCGATATAATTTCAAAAAAAAAAAAAAAAAAAAAAAAATTCAACCCCTCCCTACTTCTCCTATTATTTTCCCAAACTCCTACACACCCTCTAAAAATTGCCCTAACTCGTTCGTATGCTCCTCACGGTATACGAGATATGCTAATGACTTCATGTATGCTAATAACAATAGCGTCAACGTACTACCGTGGTATTTTGTTCCGAGGCGTCGCGACGCCTCCTCCGTTACAAAACCCACGCGCACCAAGTCATTAGACGTGTCACCGACTCATATACGCGCCTCGTTAAATAGGCGATACCAGTACAGAAGGTGTAGCAAGTAAATATAGATATAGTTTGTCTACGTTAAATATATATATACAATCCAACGAGTATGTACAACGTGTATGATATATGTACATTCAACCGTGATCCGGGACTCGGTTGGCAAGCTGTTGCGTAATTACCCGCAAAGTTTATCCACTCCGCACGTGCCCGTCGCGTTGCGGCCAATTTACGGAGTTGCGGAAAACCGCTGAGAAAATCTGAGGCTAATAATATGGCTAATAATAGGGTACGTACCTACGTATAGGTATACGAGAGGGCAAATTTTTGTTAAATGCTTAACTTTCCAACACCGTGTATAATTCTCAATATGTATATGTATATGTACTTATTTTGTATGCATTTTGACACAGGAGAATGAAGAGGACGAGGAAGCAGAGGATCGGATAACAAAACGTAAAAGAAAAAAAGGACTCGAACAGCCTGTGGGCGTCATTGTGCGTAAAGGCGAACGCGCATGTTCCTTGCGCCTACATTCAGCGATACTTTAAGACTCTCGAGACTTTTGAGAGACTCGAATTCAGTATTTTTCACTCTGTACCTACTCCGCTCGTCTTTTT